CGCAGGTTGAAGTCTTGCACTATTGGCGTTAGCATTTCTAAAATCGCCCACTTTGTTCGACTCAATGAGTTCTTGAACTTGACAGTATCGTTGCTCTGCATCTTTGAACCCTGATGAATGAATAAATTTCACAGTTTACTAACACCCTATATAAACATTAGGACTAAGATATATGAATTGAAAAATCGAGATAAAATGAAAAAAGAGAGATATCTGTTAAGAGAAATGGAAAAAATCAAATCAATGAATAAAAAGTCTGATTCGCAATTTGCACAATATTTCACCGTTTCAAATATTAATCAAACGAATTATTATTTAGTTTGTTTGACTTTTCTTACTTTCTGTCTATTATGTAACTAAGATATATTCGACTGAAATAAGATGTAAATTAATAAATAATAAGTTATAAATAATAAGTGATTGATAATTATGATAGACATATTAAGTAATAAATAATAAGCAATAAGTAATAATTTTCCTCCCCGGACTTCCGTAATATATGACTTTCTATAAATGGTGTTAATACGGAAGCCCTGGAGGGACATTTATTATTTAAAAATTATTACTTATTACCTATTATTTATAACTTATTACTTATTACTAACAGAATATAACTATATTTGGTATTAAAATGCACCATGTTTGGCAAGAAAAACTCTGTTTATATCAAGCGGTTAGTACAATTTTAGATAATAAATGTCCCTCCAGGGAATCAGTAAATTGTAGATATTTAAAGATTTATAGTTCTTTATTATCGCTAATTCAAGTAAGAGAAATATGAAATAAGTGAAACTTTCCTATAGATGATGAAAACACAATATTGCTGTTGTTGTATAAAACTACGGAAGCCCTGGAGGGACATTTATTATTCAAAAATTATTACTTATTACCTATTCCTTATAACTAATCACTTATAATTCACAAATTATTACTTATATTTAGAATTGAACCGCGCCATGTTTGGCAGGAAAAAGCTCTGTTTACATCAAGATAATTACCGGAAAAGATGAAGAAGAACGACGTAATAACATCATTTATTTAAGGTCATATATTACGGAAACCCTGGAAGGAAAATACTTATTTATTACTTATTATTTATTATTTACTACTTAATAATTTTAACATCATTATCAATTATAATATATTACTTATTATATATAACTTATTATTTAGCACTTATTATTTTTCACTTATTACTTATTTCAGTCGAATATGTCATTTAAAATCTGTGTATGTTGTAGTCTGATTATATAATGTATGCAATAATATATGTTAAAACTAAATACTCCTTAAATTATTATTTTAAAAGAATATTCGACTGAAATAAGAAGTAAATTGATAAATAATAAGTTATAAATAATAAGTTATAGATAATAATTGATAATTATGTTTAACATATTAAGTAATAAATAATAAGTAATAAATAATAATCTTCTTTCCAGGGCTTCCGTAATATATGATCTTCTATAAATGATATTCTCCTTCATCTTTTCCAGTAATTGTCTTGATGCTAACGTTACAGTTTTGTCTTGCCAACCATGCCGTTGTTCAATACTAAATATAAGTAATAGTCTGTAAATAATAAGTGATAAGTTATAAAAACTAGGTAATAAGTTATAATCTTTAAATAATAAATGTCCCTCCAGGGCTTCCGTATAAAACCGATACAAAAAATGAACTTTCAATTTGTTTAAACAAGATACATGTAGTAAACTTTTATAATTTTATTTTAAGTATTAAAGCCCAGAATAAAGTAAAAGTTAATAATATAAAGTTGTAAACGCCATTTGAATAAGTACCAATTATACATATTATACATTTATGATTTTTCCCCAAGCGTTTACTTACTCTCTCAAAAAAATACGATATTTTAGAGTTAACTAAAATTCTATATACAGACGATTTAGTATTTACAGTTACCAGCCCTGATGATGGACTCGAGGATAATTCACTTAGATTCACGAATACAATAACGAACAAAGGAAGTGGGTACGACACAACGACTGGAAACTTTGCGTGTACTGTCCATGGACTTTAATTCTTTAGTTTACATCTGGTGAAGAAACGGGGATTCTCTACCAACGAAATTGGTTGTTATATTTCTATTAATCGCACGATCGTAGCAAGGGCATTTTTTCGAACCGTACGAGGACGTTGATGATTATGGCACGCATGATGAACTCGGAAGCTATGGCATTTCCACGTCTATGTGAACAATATTGTGCTGGTCAACGGCTGCGTCGTGATGGAAGTTTTGTATTGGTCCAGAAGATCAGCTCTTGATATTTTTTAACCTTGGTCATCATTCAACGGCCTTTTGATAAGGTATTATATTAAAAGGCACATTCGTTTTCGTGAAGTGCAATTTTATCGTCAAAAAATGTAAATAATGTTAGACCTGCGGATTACAAGTTCCGAAGAAATAGAAAATAGAATAGTTAAAATGCAACAGTTTGTACACGTATATATTATAGCTGTAAATGTAAATCTATATATAAAATATACTTCGAAGGAAAAGAAGTAATACAGGTTTTTTGCTTATATACAAACAAACAAAATTATTACCTCCCACCCCACTCCTAACAAAAAAGGCAAAGGGGATATTAGAAATGATGTCTGTGTGTGCGTCCGTTCGTCACAAATTTGTTCAGAGCATAAATCCAGCAGTACTTGAGTTATTTTCTTTAAACTTTATTTACTGAGAGAGCACATTAGTATAACGTGCAGTGTGCAGGTACAATATCTTATGGCTATTCCCCTTTTTCAGATTAAAAAAAAAACAAATATATCACATAAACATTACTAGTTATGCTAATCTTCTATTCATTGCTTTACTCTTTTCACACTTGCTAGTACTTAGAAACAGTATCTAATATGACCATTAGCATACGTGTGTTTTAAAAATGGATTTATTTTTGCCAAATAAAGGGCGAGTGTTTTAATGTTTTGTCTGTCAATACTTTTCAATGATTATTTTATTTATTCAAGTATTACATTATGTAAACACAAAAGCATATACATGTAATATACATGCATTTAGGGTATCATATGAGTTGCCATAAGAAATAAAGTTTTATTAAACTGTAGCTGTCTTTTTACTTGTAATATTTTCTTATTAGGTTTTATATTATGTGACTACGAATAAACGATCATTTTATCACACGACTTAATTGTTCTTGTGCTCTGGATTTTCCTCCATGACGTGTATCTGTCTGCGAAGTTATGCCCCTTACAAAAATTACTCTGCAAGAGTTCAATAAAGTTCCAGTAAAGTGTGATGAACGGACACCAGACGGACGGACAACGCCAAAACGTGTAACCGCATTTGGCGGATGATCAACCAGTGATGTTTGATATTACATAACCAGTTATACACCGTGTTTATCTGAATAAACAATGGTTAACATTCGATACGAAATTTAAAATTAAACAAATTAAATACTGCCAAGTTTTGAGATATAATTAACTTTGCTGCCAATATATTTTTTCACAGGGTCATGGATATTTCGAGATCAAATTCATGGCAAAGATAAAGCATTTCTTCAAAAATGAGAATGAATCTGAGATATTCCTACGGAGGGCTGGTGAAATATATAGAGGATATTTGTTTGTTTTGTATGTAAGATTGAAATATAATTTCACTGAGTGAACACCAGATGCAATATTTTCACGAGTGGCGTAGCCACGAGTGAAAATATAATAGCTGGTGTTCACGAATGAAATATATTTCAATCTTATATGTAAAACAAATAAATTTTCTTTTTATTTCATGCTTTTTAAGTGAATTTAAGTATTTTTTACTGATTTTGCCGCGTAACGTCGCGATTTCTCCTTTGTGACGTCATCACATCATGACGTCACATCATCAATTTTGAAATATAGTTCTGTTAAATTTTTCTGATTTTGTTACATTTTTAACATGATGTATGGTGACATCGACTTTCTTTTCCTGGAGAAGCAAAATGTACGTATGACAGCATTTATTTCTGCCTGTTATTCCATTTAGTTTAATTTTCTTTTCATCCGCATTCAGATATAGTCCGGCTACAGTGAAAATTATATTTTATAAATTTCACTAGTGGTTTATCAGAATATAATCATCTGATATATTACAATAAAACACTGGAAAGCATGAAATAAAGAAATATAATTCCAAATTCCAAAATGCATTGTTCTAAAAAAGGCAATTTTTTTCATGAGTATTTAAAATATTGATAACAACAATAATATTAATGTATCATTTGGATATTGTTTTTATAAAATATTGCTTGAAAAAAAATGCTGATCGGTGATTAAGTATAAGCATTTTAATGATGTGTATTAAGTAATAACATTTTGTTTTAGAACATTTATTACTTGCTATACAAATATATGTAATATCAGAGAACGAATCTTATACTTGCCAATAACATCCCATATATATTTATTTCGTGGTTTGTTGTTATGACTGATACTAAATTCTATAGAATGTTTTATTAATTGTGTAACAAATAAGCCATAATCATTACAGACATGCTCAATTGTCCAAATAATTTCCAAATTAAATCTATAAGTTGTAACACCAAAAGCATTTGGTCAAGAAGGAAATGACCTTAATCCTTATTTAGTTCTTAATTTGCTTACTAGATAAGCATAACTAAATATTTACATTTTGTAATATCAGAATTACTCGGGTCTTTCTATCTGAGACATAATTGCGCAATTAATTTATGAATAACACATCTAAAACCTCACTTGAATGAAAGAAACAATAAATGATCATGAGTAAGTTAATAAGTCATGTGATTGAGTGAGTGAGAGGGTGAGTGAGTGAGTGAGTGAAGGAGGAAAGAAAGAAAGAAAGATAGAAAAAAAGGAAGGACGGAACGAACGAATGATATTTAGTTATCACTATGAACAGCCCATAGTATGCGTAAGAAAACAACTTCTCAAATATAATGCTATCTAATCAAAATGTACGTGCAAATCTATGAGAAGAAGAACTGCAATAGATAAGATATAACTTAAAAGAAAAACGCTTTGTAACGACTGAATATTTACTAACATACGGCCACTGGTGTAAAACGCGAAAAATGTTGTCAAAATATTATTCCGTCGTGATACTGTGTCTGACCGTCGTCAACGGAAATCTTGTAGAGCCCGGAGAGCCGAAATGTTTATCGAAATTTGACTATGACGAGAAAATGTTAATGAAACAATTAAGACTGGAGGACAAAGTTCAGAAATTCGAGGATTTTATTAATGAAGTAAAGGCAAAGGAGGAAAAAGAGAAAGAGGAGCGCGTTAAATTGCTTGCTGTAGAGTTGGCGAAATTCAAACAAGAGAACGCGGAAGAGATAGCGAGACAGAAAAATGTGACTTCAGAAATGCTCAAAGACTTGGCGAATTCTAAGATCGAGTTAGAAAAAAAGATGAAAGAGAAATCAGAACCTAAGAAAGGTCAGTATAACATAAATGTTTAAAGAAATCTTAATAGTGTTTTCTTGTTATGTTGTAAGTAATTTCATATTTGCAATGCTTGAATTTCTTTATAGCCTTGATTGTCTACAGCTAAAAGATCAGATTGCAGATGTTTGGCTTAATTTGTTGGAGCAGTGTCTAGATTTTTTTCTTAAAATATATGGAGAAAAATAACATTTTTATAAATAAAATTCATATAAAATATCTCTTATCTACGGAGCCCCTAAGGTGACATTTTCCACACTTTTTTTCCCCGGAATTTAATTCGTTTTTACGAAATAATAATTCGTAATTACGAAATAATAATTCGTTTTTACGAAATATTAATTCGTTTTTACGAAACATTAATTCGTTTTTACGAAATATTATTTCGTTTTTACGAAATATTAATTCGTAATTACGAAATATTATTTCGTATTTACGAAATATTAATTAGTTTTACGAAATAATATTTCGTATTTACGAAATATTATTTCGTAATTACGAAATATTAATTCGTAATTACGAAATATTATTTCGTATTTACGAAATATTAATTCGTAATTACGAAATATTAATTCGTTTTTACGAAATATTATTTCGTAATTACGAAATATTATTTCGTAATTACGAAATATTAATTCGTAAAAACGAAATGTTATTTCGTAATTACGAAATAATAATTCGTAAATACGAAATAATATTTCGTAAAAACGAATTAAATTTTTTCTAGCGTTTCAAAGAGTTTTGGTAATAGTTATAAATAAGGCCTCAAAACTAAGTTCCTGACTTAATATAAGGCATGTACATGCAATATAAATAGTGATTTTTTTCTCCCCAAGTTTTTTAACTTTACACTATTGTACATAAATTAAAATAATCGCATGTTAATAGCGTTGAGCCACAGCCGTGATGGTACACGCGCTAGGAAAATTTACTTAAAATGGGGGTCCTGTGCTTCAAATCGTAACACGGACATTTCTTTTAATAAATTGTGAGGAAATATTTATTTTAAATTGATTAGATTAGTGAAAGTCTGGACCAACCCCCCCCCCCGTCCCATTAGTTTTACTAATGTATATGATAAAAGAACGGAATAATATGGCATGTTTCTGTTTTAAAGATACATGTCGTAAAAGATTGTCTCAAACATTAAAACATTGCTGATAGGAACATGTATTTGACAATGGGGAAAAAAGACCATTTTGGATAGAGAATGACTTCTCACTCAAAAACCCTGTTCACATAAATATAATAACTTGAGAACCATTCGGCTCATAATCGCAAAGTTGATCAAGGCATGTAAATGACCCATTTGTGAGATTAATAGGTTCTTTATCAAGCTCAAAATGACCTTAAATAAGATTTCGTAAAAACGAATTAATATTTCGTAATTACGAAATAACATTTCGTTTTTACGAATTAATATTTCGTAATAACGAAATAATAATTCGTAATTACGAAATAATATTTCGTAATTACGAAATAACATTTCGTAAAAACGAATTAATATTTCGTAAATACGAATTAATATTTCGTAATTACGAAATAATATTTCGTAAAAACGAATTAATATTTCGTAAAAACGAATTGATATTTCGTATTTACGAATTAATATTTCGTAAAAACGAATTAAATGCCGGGGGAAAAGTGTCGAGAATGTCACCTTAGGGGCTCCGTACTTATCCTATGAAAGACTGAAATATATAATTTCATTTTATCTGTCATACAGGTAGCAAAATGTAAACAAAGAAGTATTTTGACTTCCATACAAAATACTGATTTACTATGATTATACCCATTGCCAACAAACTGTATATAGCAAATAAGTATACTTTTGGAAACTGTATCAAGATACCAAAAAAATAAACAATATTGGAAGCATTTCTGATTCATTATGGGCCTTTAACTATTGACATTGTGCTGTGAATGATAACATACAGCAGACTTGATGAACACCGTCCTTTGTTTAAAAAATTCAATTCAGTACAAGTCTATGAATAAAACATGAAAAAATATGGAATAAATCGTACACATACTTCACTTGTTAAAAACTTAAAGGACAATTTTTACATTAATGTTTACTTACCAGACATGAGAAGACTTTCTTGAATTGACTCCGCTATTCGAAAATGCGGGTTTCGATTATCCATTGCCTCGCCGAAGTGCTTAAAGGCCCTTATTTCCATTTTTATTTTTTCAAAAACTTATACCTTGGGAATATGGGTACCACAAAAAAATGAGGCACCGGTATAACTGGTTTGAAGTCAACCACCTTAACCACTCGCCGCCTATTGGATTTTGATGGCAATCAGTTGTTTTTTTATAGAAATAATAAATTTAAAAAATAATAGTTTATTCCGGGAAATAAGTAAGAAAATAAGACCGGGACAAATCACTGTAACTAGAACTTTATCAAATAGTTTTGTTTATGTTTTCAGAGGAAGTCGTAGCATTCACCGTCTCTACACCTGCGAGGTACTAGTGCAAACTCTAATGACTTTCACGGAGATCATTACAAACGAAGTAACGGGTTTGATACATCGACCGGCACGTTCACTTGCCCAGTTAACGGGCTCTACTTACTTTTCCTTACACATCATGAAAAGAGGGTCCTCAAGTACGGACGCTGCAGGATGTTCTATTTATCTGAACGGAACCGGTAAAGGTGAGAGCTTTTTGTAGATCCACAGGACGGGTCCAATGGTGCGGACAACGGAAGTTACGGGGTTCGAACTCGGTATACCTCATACTGAAGGTTGGAGATGTGGTGACCATAGAAAGGTGTACAAGTCTCGGTCGTCAAGATGATGTCGGTTCACAGAAAACCTCGTTCAGTGGTTAATTTAGAAGAAGAACGAATTTGAGAGAAAAAAATACATTAAAAAACATAATAAACTTTTATTTACTGTATTCAGTGTTTAAGGGCTTTTTTATAAGCAGCACGTCTTCATGTAATTTTGTGGGTTTTTTTTATTATTAAAAATTGTTTAAGTTTGGTGAAATAATTTGCCAAAGCGAATAAATAAAGGGACTTAATCTACTCAAAGACACTAACCATGTGCTGCAATCAACAAAAATATAATGCAAAAAATAGTGAGATTATAATATTTGCTCCGTTAATAAGGGCGATAAAAAAACATTGTTTAAAATTATTTTGGTTGTCATTAAGTTGTTGCCAATCGTTGTACCGTGCCAACATGGATTGC